AATGAGAGATGGCGGCGGCAACTCGCCGCGCTTTGCGCTTGGCGCCAAGGCCCCCTACTTCGCGGCAGTCACCGCTCCAAGCCGCGGCTATATCGCTCGAGGTTTGAACCGAAGGAGACCTACCCCGCCGCGCCAAACGCTTTTTCCTCTGGCCGCGCCTTCTCGACCCGGATTGGCTGGATTCGCGTCATTTGCTTTTGGAGGACGAGGATTGGCGGAACCGTTGACAGCGGAGACCGCTGAGTGGCCCTCAGCGGAGCCCAAGCGCGCGAAAAACAAACGCGGGCGCCCACCCATGCCGGAAGCTCATTCCCAAATTCTCCCTCAAGCAAAGAAGAAGCAACCATGGCCCGTACCAAGCAGACCGCCCGCAAGTCCACCGGTGGCAAGGCCCCGCGCAAGCAGCTCGCCACCAAGGCTGCTCGCAAGTCGGCCCCCGCCACGGGCGGCGTCAAGAAGCCGCACCGTTACCGCCCCGGTACGGTCGCTCTGCGTGAGATCCGTCGCTACCAGAAGTCGACGGAGCTGCTCATCCGCAAGCTGCCCTTCCAGCGTCTGGTGCGCGAAATCGCCCAGGACTTCAAGACTGACCTGCGCTTCCAGGGCTCTGCTGTGCTCGCCCTTCAGGAGGCCGCCGAGGCCTACCTCGTGGGTCTGTTCGAGGACACCAACCTGTGCGCCATCCACGCCAAGCGTGTCACCATTATGCCCAAGGACATCCAGCTGGCCCGCCGCATCCGTGGCGAGCGCTCGTAAGTTGCCTGTCCGCAGCTAACTAGCTTTCGCTGCTGAGCTAGTGCGCACCGCAGTGTGTGCGCTAGCTCGTCTTCTGTCGTCCTAGCGTCGACACTTTCATTCTGGTGTTTTTTAACACCACCCTTTTTGAAAGAAAACACAACGATGTGCTGTAGAGCTAGTCAAGAAGAGTGCTTACACCATTTTCTAGTGATGATAGCTGTCACTAAAGTCTAAAGTGTAAAGCCCGATGGCCAGCACTAGTGGTAGTACCATTATCAACTCGTTTACTCCGCGTGCTTCTATGAGCACTTCCATCTCACAGCATGTAAAGACGTCTTGAGAGGTACCCCTCGCAATTTACACGGCGCTTCCGCTTGTAGATGCTCAACCTCATCCTTCCTTACCATTAGTAGTATCAAATGAAGCTGTAAACGTTCTCCTGCCCTTGATGCCGCACTCCTTGTTCTTTTTCGTCTGTTGGTGTCCTCTCTCCAACGCCAGTCTTGCAGCCGCACCACGTCTTCGACTTTTACGATGTTCCCCACACACTCCCTGCGGTAAATATTTAAGTACTGTTGCCTTGGGGTGCGTGGCTTTTTATATCGAGGAGTGAGAACGTGTATTCTTGACAAACTGTTTCGAAAGTGCCAAGGTGCTGAAGTTTAGCTTTGGCGCAGAACTTTGTTGCAACAAGTCTGACATGGCCGATTTAAGTGGGAACTTACAAACCAGCATGTGCGCACCACAACATCGCTAACCTTAAAAACACTACCTTTGCTGCAGCTACCGCCGCCTTCTTGTTGTTGCCACACTTCACACTACAAAGATAGACGTGTTATCGGTACGCTTCCCTACAATCGCTACGTTAAACAAAGGCTGCAGACACATTTCTTAAAAAAGGGTGGTGTTAAAAAACACCAGGGTTGAAAAATCATCCTGCGATCATCGCGTTAAGCGACTGCAGGATGAAGGATGTCAGGAGACGCTTAAGCGGACGTGAACTTGGTCACGGCCTTCGTGCCCTCCGACACGGCGTGCTTGGCCAGCTCACCGGGGAGCATGAGGCGCACGGCCGTCTGGATCTCGCGGCTGGACAGCGTCGACTTCTTGTTGTAGCGCGACAGCTTGCCGGCCTCCGAGGCAATGCGCTCGAAGATGTCGTTGATGAACGAGTTCATGATCGACATGCCACGCTTGCTGATGCCCGTCTCGGGGTGCACCTGGCGCAGCACCTTGTAGATGTAGGTCGAGTACGACTCAACGCGCTTCTTGCCCTTGCCCTTGCCGGACTTGGCAACCGTCTTCGCGGCCTTCTTCGAGGGAGTCTTCGCCATTGCTGTTGGTAGGGGAGGAGGGTGGAGAGAACGAGTCAAATCTCGGAATGGCGACTTCATGCAGCGCTGGCCGTGCACCACAAGCGCGGGAAAATTGCTCAAATTTGGGCGGGCTTTGCGCCGGATAATCGCCGGATAACTGGTTTTCCGCTCGGGGCTCGCTTGGCGCACGATGATTGGCGGAACTCACATCACTTCAATTTCATTGGCGGAAGGCCGAGGGAAAGGGCTAGTAATCGCACACGAAAGGTAATGCCTCCGAACAGTAGCCCCTTGTGTTCCGCACATGAAGATGGTGTGGCGCACACAGCGTCAGATCTCCCTGCCCTCTTGAGCCACGCGGCTGATACTCGATCTAGGAATCCGAGCTAGCCAGAAGCGACTGAGCGACAATGAAGCTAGGGGCGAGCCAGGACACGTACGCCGCCGGGGGCGACTCCGGCCGCGGCAGCTCCGGCATGACCATCTCGTCCGTGATGGCGGACATCAAGGAGAAGTTCAAGAACGACGAGGAGGACCAGGGTATGCGGCCGGAAAGACCGGCGGCTTCATCTTGCGCCCCCTGGCCGGGATCTCCCTCCCTGTCGGGCGCTCCCCCCCATTGAGTTTGACTATTGACCCGTTATGTACTATTCCCCCCACTGCGTTCGTGCTGCAGTGTCGCCGTTCCAGGGCCTGGACAAGGCCACGGTGCTGCAGGAGACCAAGATCTTCTCGGACGCCAACACCGTGACGCGCCACCCCAAGAAGTGCTGCCAGCTGATCACCAAGCTGCTGCACATCCTCACGCAGGGAGAGCCCTTCACCAGCGCCGAGACCACGGCCGTCTTCTTTGGTGTCACGAAGCTCTTCCAGTCCAAGGATGCCAACCTGCGACGTATGATGTACCTGTTCATCAAGGAGGTGGCTGAGGCCACTGCTGCCGACGAGGTACGTGCTGCCCACATGCATACATACATTGCGAAAGGTAGAATGAAGGACATACACTGACGGTAGTTCCTGTTATCAGGTTATCATTGTGACCCAGAGTCTGACCAAGGATATGAGCTCCGACGTGGATCTCTACCGTGCCAATGCCATTCGTGTGCTGTGCCGTATCATTGACGTACGTGTTGGCCACTGCGACGGCGGTGCCTGTGAGATGGTAGTTGTGCGGCGACTCATTTATGGTGATTTGTTGTTCTCATGTACGACAGGGTTCCATGCTGAACGCCATTGAGCGCTACATCAAGCAGGCAATTGTGGATCGCAACGCTCTGGTGGCTAGTTCGGCACTGGTTTCGGGTATTCACCTGATCAAGAACAACCCGGAGATCGTGCGTCGCTGGGTCAATGAGGTGCAGGAGGCCGTGAACTCCACGAACGACATGGTGCAGTACCACGGGGTTTCGCTCCTTTATCAGATTCGGCAGCACGACAAGCTCGCGGTTTCCAAGTTCATTACTCAGCTTCAGAAGACGAACCTGCGCTCGAGCCTGGCGACGTGTCTGTTGATCCGTTACACGGCGGCTCTCCTGCGCGAGAACGCCAACGGCCAGGATGCCGCGCCGCTTTATGCGTTCCTGCAGAAGATGCTGCGTCAAAAGAACGAGGTACGTTTGTCTGGAACCATTAATGGTGGCCGTCAGCAACACATTAGTTGGTTGAAGTCACAATTTAGGCTGACAACTGTTATTCATGACCCGGTAGATGGTTATCTACGAGGCCGCGAAGGCTTTGTGTGCGCTGCCCGTGGACGCGCGCGACCTGACGCAGGCCATCGTCGTGCTGCAATTGTTCCTGGGCTCCTCGAAGCCCACCCTTCGTTTCGCTGCTGTGCGGACGCTCAGTCAGGTGGCGTTGACCCAGCCCATGCTGGTGACGCGCTGCAATGAAGATATGGAGGCGCTTATCTCGGACTCAAACAGATCCATTGCTACTCTTGCTATCACCACTTTGTTGAAGACAGGTACGCTGCAGCTATGCGATGGTGCTGTAACCGAGCTGACTATGCTGGCCGTAATGGATCTGTATTAACCAGGTGCCGAGTCCAGCGTGGATCGTCTGATGAAGCAAATTTCTACGTTCATGGGCGACATTGCTGACGAGTTCAAGATCGTTGTGGTGGAGGCTATCAAGAACCTGTGCTTGAAGTACCCTCAGAAGCACCGTGTGCTGCTCAATTTCTTGGCCAACTTCCTGCGTGAGGAGGGTGGCTATGAGTTCAAGAAGACGATTACGGACGCTATATTGTTCCTGATCGACCGTATTCAGGAGTGCAAGGAGACTGCGCTGCTCCACCTGTGCGAGTTCATCGAGGACTGCGAGTTCACGCAGCTGTCGACCAAGATCCTGCGTGTCTTGGGCCAGAAGGGCCCCACCACATCGGCACCGGCGCGGTACATTCGTTTCATTCGCAACCGTGTTATCCTGGAGAACGCACCTGTGCGTGCGTCGGCCGTTTCAGCTCTCGCCCAGTTTGCGATTCGCGTTGCGTCGCTCCGGACTAGTGTCTCGTCCCTGCTGCAGTGCTGCAAGCTTGACGACGACGATGAAGTCCGTGACCGCGCCACCATGTACCTCGCCATCCTGGAGGGTGACGAGGTGACCAGCCGCACCCTTCTCGTGGAGGACTTCCCTATGAGCGTTGTGGCTTTGCAGAAATCCATTGACCAGTATGAGCTGCGCCCCATGGATGGCCCGCTTACGTTTGATGGGTTGCCGCACGTTGAAGTTGTTGAAGACGTGGCTGAGGCCAACACGAACGATGCCGAGGCTGACAATGAGACCGTCCAGGCCGACGTCGCACCGGAGCCCCAGGATGTCGCGAAGGAGCTGTACACGGTACGCTATCTTTACCTGGATTGGCATGGTCGCAAAAAGTATCTGATTTGTATGCTAATCCTTGTTTTATGCAGATCCCCGAGTTCGCCGAGCTTGGTGCTCTTTTCCGTTCGTCCAAGCGCTTGGAGCTTACGGAGGCCGAGACAGAGTATGTTGTCAGTTGCACGAAGCACGTGTTTGCTCAGCACATCGTGCTCCAGGTATGCCCAACGCCATTGCTTCCTGTTTATATTCCGATATGAAGCATTTCTGACGTTACTTCTCGCGATAATGTCAACAGTTCAAGGTGCTCAACACGGTCAGCGACCAGCTTCTCACAAACGTGAACGTTGGCTTTGTGATGGAGCCCGAGGACGTGTGGCAGGTGCACTCGGTTGTCCCACTGGACAAGCTGGCTTACGGCAAGACGGGCTCGTGCTATGTCTGCCTGCAGTACACTGGCGATGGAGTTTACCCCATTGTTCAGCTTGCTAACGTCGAGGTACGTCAATCCTGGGATTGCATCTTCGGTGCCGTTGGTAGTGACATTTAACATTCTATGTTTGTGTTATATAGTTGAAGTTTAAGGTACACGAGGTGAACCCGTCATCTGGCGAGGTTGAGGATGATGGCTTCGACGAGGAGTACCCGATGGAAGACATTGAAATTGGCGCTGCGGACCTGATGGCTAAGGTTTCCGTGAATGACTTCCGCTCGGCCTGGGAGCACATTGGCGACGGCGCTGAGGTTAAGGGCAGTTATGGTCTCAAGTATAAGAGCCTTGTGGAGGGTGTCGCGGCTGTCATCGACAACCTCGGCATGCAGCCTTGCGAGAACACAGCCGTGCCGCAGCCCAAGGCCAAGGCCCACATTCTGCTACTGTCGGGCGTGTTTGTTGGTGGCGTGAAGGCGCTAGTGAAGTCGAGAATATCGCTGGATGAACAGAGCGGCAGCATGATTCTGCAGGTACGATGCGATCTGGAGAAATATCCTATCGTAGCATCTTCTCACCGATATTGTTTTGTGCATGCATAGATGGCCGTGCGTTCGGAGGCCGAGGAAATCAGTCAAACCATCATGGACTGCATTAGATAAAGAGCCTGTGCGTTACATCGTCGGATGTGCCCGGCGCGAGAGTGAAATACGACGTGGTACTGCTTGTGGAGAGAAACACGAGCGCACGTTGCGGTGAGGGAGGGAGCAAGTGAGGCAGAAGACAGGATGAGAAACAACACGATTAGCGAGGCTAGATGCTTGCAATCACTACTTTCTCTCAAAACAAAAATGGACTGTGTTTGTGATTGATCCATCGGGTTGACAGCATCAATTATGACTATGAGGTGACATCCAACAGACCCTCGGACCACAGACGCAGCAGCATTCCACGCACCGCAGTCTCGTCGCTAGCGTCTTCCGCAAGCTCCTCAACCGAAACACCAGGAACGGAAGCGGACGACGCGTAGAGCTTCATGAGCGCAGGAGCAAGTTCTCCCGGGAATACGATGCTCTTCGGTTGGGGCGGCATCTGGCCAAATGCAGCACTGGAATCGTCCTCCTCGTCGCTCTCATTGTCGCCATCCTCGTCATGGTCCCCATCATCACTGCCTTCCTCTCCACCCTCGCCATCTTCGCTACCATCATCGTCTTCCTGTTCCTGTTCCTTTCCTTCCTCATCTTCGTCACCGCCATCGCAAGTGCACAAACCCATGTGATGCCGCCGACAGTTGTGCAGCGAGTAGTATACGGCAACGAAGGCTTCCTTCGCTTCATCCTCGCCCATCGACAAGCGCACGTGAGAGCGGTTTTTGAATCGAATGGCCACATTGCTGTCTAGCGGACTAGAACCAGCCTCGCCATCGTTGTTGCTCTGCCCAGGAGGAGGCAGGCGGTTCGCAAACACATCCAGCGCCGCCTCGTCAGCAGCCTCCTGCAAGTCCTTGTCGCTAACGTGCGTCGCAAGCTGACCAACAAGCTTTTTGCACGCCGCAGCGAACTTCTTCGCCTCTGCAGAATCAGTCGGGAATTGAGTGCCCATGTAACTCAGGTAGCCGACAGGGAGTCCCTTACGGAACGCGACGTCTGAGTCGAACGCATGACGAATGACGCGAGGCAGCGCAACTTCCAGGAAGTTGGCCCAGGTGTTGTGCTGGTACACCGAGATGGTCACGTGAGTCGAAAACTGCTTATCGTCCGTGCATGCCTGGTGCACGATGCCGCGCGGGAAGTACAGCAAGTCGCCTTCCTCGACGGTAAGCTCCATCCACGGCTCACCAATCTGGTCAGCAGCGAGATCCGAGCTGTGTTCTCCTGCCAGCTCCACCAGCGGGCGGTAAAGCTTCCACTTCTTACGACCCTGCGTCTGCAGCACAAACACCTCCACGTCATCGTGATGCGGCGCCAGCGCCTGCGAGTTCGCCGGGGTCAAATACGCGCTGGCCCCTGCCAGACCACCGAAAACCTCCTCGAACGCCGCGTTGAGCTCGTACAGTCCATCCGCGTAGCGCTGCGGCTGGTAGAACTGGCAGCTATAGCCTCTGTCCAGCAGACTGGCAACCTGGCGGCTCGTGGCGTGGCCGTTCGAGTCCTCGCCGTCGAAGTTCTCGCGCTCCGAGTTGACGTATCTACAGACTGTCAGGTCCTTGCCGAAGCCCATGTGCTGCTGCTTCTCCATGACCTTGAGCATCTTCTTGCGGGAGAAGAGGCCGCTGCCGAACAGCTCACCCTTGTCCGCCTTGCGCACGTGCAGCGGCTTCTTCTCGAAGTACTCGGACTTGAACATGTCCAACGACATGCCTCCCAGCAGCTTGGTCAGCGTGCTCCCGGCCCACTCGCGGCTGCCCTTGACACTGCTCACGCTCGCCATCGCAGCTGAAGCTGTCGCAGCCGAAGTCTTGGTTGCATCCTTCTTTTGCTTCTTGCTGGGCTCGGCAGCAGCGTCGTTGGCGCGGCGCTTGGCGCGACGAGCGCTCTGCTTGGTGCGGCTCATGGTCCACTCGATTCAAATTTCGATTCTGACGTTGCAGCTCCAGCAGCTCGATTTGGTGTGCGGAAACACCAAATAGCATTACAGCTGTGCGTGCATTTATCAGCACTACAAATTGGCATGAAGCATAAACGAGAATAATTTTATAAGGTACACAATAACTCAATATCATCAAGTAGTGTAATCGTTTTACATGAATTATGCGTTTCCGGGTCTAATTCGAAAAATTGCAATCACGGTACGCTATTTTTGTGTACAAACTGTGTAACAGTTTCGACCGCGCGCGCTGCACGACCGACCCGCGCCAAACTGGCGCATCGCAGGCGAGGGAGAGGTCATGGCGGACGGCGCTCAGCAGGCCGCGTCGATGGACGTGCACGCGTCCGCTCTTGCCATGCTGGCGGAAAGTAGCGTCGCCAGGTGCGCTCCTCCTCGAATGTGTCTTGCCTATTGCTTCTGCTATGAAGCTGACCTCCCAATTAATTAATTTCCGGTCCAGGACGCCGTCGCGCGCGGAAACGACGGCGCAGACAGAAGACAAGCAGGAGGACGTCGCTGCCGTGGAGTTGCAGCGTGTGCAGGCGAGGCTGCAGAAGGCTCGCGCCAGGATGGGCGCGTCGCTGGCGGAGATCCCGACCGGTCGCGAGTACGACTCGCCACCAGACGCTTCGGATGAACCCGCGTACGACGCGCTGGAGAAGGCGTACAACTCGGCGTTCTTGGTTCATCCACCTGCGGAGACTAGAGGTGTGCAGACTGCCCAGCGTTTGGCACGAGAAGAGAAGGCGGAGTATGCTGCAGCTTCAATTAGAATTGCATTGGCTAGTGAGCTGTTGTGCTAATTAAGTCGGGGATGTTTCTGTGTTGGTCTGCAGGCATCAAGATGAGAAGAAGGTTGCAAATACGGACGACGTGAGCAAGGTATGTTGCTGTTGCTGTTGCTGCTGCTGTTGTGTATTGTATTAAAGCATGCTGACGTGTTGTGGATCCTTGCCCTTCTTCAGTCTGCAAGCGCTGATCAAAACCTTCAGTACGTTGTTTGAAAAATGAGATTGGAATATAGTTTGCTGTCTACTAACTGTGATTGATTTACCCGTTTCCATTACACGATTCAGGCAAGTTGGAACGTTGAAAAGCATGTGCCTCTCTACACTAAAGCAAAATGGTGGATCTAGTGAGGAGACGGATGTGCCTATGGGAGATGCTAACGAGAAGGGGGCGAAAGTGACTGCACGGGATCCTGGATCTGGAAGCAATCCCTCGTCAGGTATTATTGGAGACGGAAGGAAGATGCCAGCATCGCTGCCGGCACAATCACTGGCGACTGCTGCGTCTCCACCGCAGTCGCCATTGTCAGCCTATCATCAAACCTCGAGCGAAGACGGATTTCTTTCAACGCCCGAGGTGAAAAGGGAGCGCCGTCTTCTGGATTTGAAACCCGAGATGGTCGATGAAGCCCGAGTTGAGCGAGCAGACAACCTTTCGCTGAATGAATTCCTCATCTCGGAACTGGAGGTATATTGCTCCCGTTTGCTAGGAAAAGGGCTGGTTGATAATGGCCTGTCGGGTATCAGTGACCTCGCTTGGATCACCAGCCTTCAGCTATTCCAGGATCACCGCCGAGCGTTGATGGACTTCGACGACGAGTGGAAAAGGTAGTGCATCAACCTGGTTGTTGCTTTTGATAAAAGTGACTGACTCTGAGTGTGTGTATGTACGTGTAGGTCACATGCTGACAGTCGCCAGGGATATACGCCAGCAAAATCCTCCAAGGAGCTGCCAGTGGCACCTTCAACCACCTCTACGAATCCCTTTCAGCAAATAACTGGCAGCTCTGCCCCCATAAATGAATGGACAACGCTTTTGAATGGCGTAAAAGCTTCCAGTACGAAAGCCACCCCATCGACATCATATTCGCCGAACGGGACAAGTGAAGGAAGCGCGGATTTATTTATCTCCTATGAGCGAGGGTCAAATGGAGTTGTCGTTACCGGAGACAGTTCCTATGAGGAGCGCCTGCAGGTAAGCCGAAGCGTGTGAGTGACAACTCGAATTACACTACTAATCATTTTACTGTTTTCGTTTTACATGCACACCAGATCAGTGCATTTATGACCCAGATTGCATCAGTCCAAAGCACATCAGCATTTTACGTTGTAGTTGCTGCTGGCTCTGACCTTGAACAATGGGAGAAGGCACTCTCATCAAGGGAACTTGTTCAGCTGTATCCGTATTGGGGCAGAAAAGAAGACCGACAGAACCTACTGCAATTGCTGAGCAATGAGTACTTCTCCAGCCGTAAGCTGTCAGCGCACGTCCTTCTCACCAGCTATGAAGTTTTCATGGAGGATATCGCGATCGTGACCTCGCTTCAGTGTCAGCTCAGTGTAATTGATATCCCTGGCCAAGGTACCGATCGGATTGCAGCTATTTGGGGACAGTTGCTTTCACTGCGATGTCGTCAGCGATTGCTTCTGTGCCACTCGTCATTCGAGGTCGATGCGCGAAAGTTGCTCCATTTTCTCGTTCCTGAGTTGTTTAGCACTCGGCGAAAGCTGCTGGTAAGTGTTTACGCGATACTCGTTGCTACTCTGGTTTGGGACTGACGTTGATCTTGTTTTGGAATTTGGCAGGCATGGAATAGCGCAGCTCTCCATTCCGAGCAAATTCGTGCAGTATGTGACGTCGTGAAGGCGTTTACGATCGCCACAAAAGTAAACAACTCCGCTGCATTCATTTCGAAGGTGGAATCGAGTACCAAGGTCAATAGCAAACGAGAAATGGTTGCCATGGATGCGCTTGACAAGCAAGGTATCGTAAGGGCAATAGAGCCTTCTATAATGGTCCCGATGAAGCGGGTATTGGTGAAAAAATCCCGAAGACGTACCACCGGACACATTCCTGCCAAGGTAACGGACCTTTTTTTCTTCTGGGGTTTCTTACAATGCTCGCGCTAATGCTTTTTTTGTCTTTTGTTTTATGGTGAACAAAGGTTCCTTCTCTCAATACACCACCGAACGAACTCGATTCGCAGCTCTCAATCAAGGCACCGAATGCTGTTGTAAAGAAGCGACGTGGAAGTGATAGCATGCATGGTTCCCGTCAACGGGTTGGGCGTTGTGGAAAATGTGCAGGGTGTTTGACCGAGGACTGTATGAAATGTGGCCATTGTCAAGATATGAAAAAGTATGGTGGGCCAGGTCTTCGCAAACAGTCATGCAAAAACCGCAAATGCTTGAATCCGAGGATCTGGGGTTTGGCGAGCCGCAAGAGAAAACGCAGCAAGACAAAGCGCACCGACCCGAAGGGCGATTTGGAAATGGATGAGGACGGCTCTGTTGCGTACTCGTCTGTGGAAAGTGACGGGGAGTCTGTTTCGACCGCTACGTATGAGTTTGGCGATTCGGATGACGAGTCATTTCAATATTCTGATGCCACAACGGATTCTCCGCGTGACTTGTTACTACCAGCCAGTGATACGCTTATGAGTGACCACCTGACTCTCAGCGATTTAAGTTCACGCTCGGGATCTGCACGCTCCCGTGTGGTTCGTTGTGGAGAGTGTGAAGGATGCCACGCACCTGATTGTATGAAGTGTCCTCACTGTCTTGACATGAAGAAGTACGGAGGACCCGGTCTTAGAAAGCAGACATGCAAAAATCGCAAATGCAACGCACCCAAGGTCGTCGTGCTGAATCATGCCAAGGGCGGTCAGTTTGTGGACGAGATGGGAAACGTCGTGTACAGCGGTCTAAACGACAGCAACTTCCCTGGATTCTACGAGGCCCCCGATACGCCAGATTCATCTGCTGCTGCTGTGTCTCCGAGAATTGGATTTAAATCGGTTTTGCCTCCCGTTATTCGAGAATGCGAGCTCTTTGTGAAGCCTCGGCTCGAGTTTCCGTGCAAGGAATGTGCTGATGAGTTTAGCTCGCAGCTTTTGCTCGACTTTCACGCGCGTGTAGAGCATTCACAACCAACCGCCGAGGATGCTGCGCTACTTTCGTTTGAGCGCAACGCAAGCAAGCTGCTCACGCGTCCGATTTATCAAAACGCCATGCTCAACGCCCGCATCAAGCAGCAAGAGAACAATCCGCTGGGATACGCAAAGCTTGAGGTACGCTGTCGATCGCGTTGGGGTTTAGTCGGCAACCACTCTCAGTATTTTTTCTTGTTTTCTTTCATGACAGGGTCGAGATTTCCAGTACTTCTTCATCGAGCCGTTCGTCGTGCTTGGACGCATGGAGCCTCGTTGGTGCAGTCTGTACAGGGATCTGGGCTTTCAGAACCTTAAGGGTCTCGCTGCGGGTGACGTCGATTGCCACGTGGGCAACGACAGCATGATCGCGACGACGCACGCGGTGATCTCGTGGGACGCGCGCCTCAAAAGCTTCGTGATCGAGTGCCTGAGCCTGCGAGCGCCGATCTCTGTGAACGGCCGTGAAGTCAGCTTTTCGTCGCCTCCAGCGGCGCTGAGCAGCCGCAACCTGGTGCAGATCGGGTCAAGCGTCTTCTACTTCCTGCTGCCGAAGGCGTCGAAGGCGAGTACCGCCGTTGAAGGAAATACTGCCTCACAGGCGTAAGTCGGCGCAGCGATATCGTCGATGAAGATGAAGGAAGTTGAAGTGGTTGCAACTACTAAATATACTTGATTAAAGTAAAGGACTGCTTTAACGGGCCGAAAAGCTGGAACAGATTCCAGAATTTTGTCCAAATTACCATAAACAGGGCGAAAATAGACCTGCCAGATTTTGGATCTGGAACGGTCCAATCAGCGCTGCTGGCCAGTGGTTGGCTCGTGTGTGCGCGCCAACGGGCAGCGACGAGCACACTCAGATCGGTCCCCAGCAGCGCAGGCAGGCCCCGACAGCAGCAGGAACTCAGGCAACATGGTGGTCGCAGGCATCGACATCGGCACGACGCACGGCTGCGTGGGCGTGTGGCACAACGGCAAGGTGAACATCATCGCCAACGACCAGGGCTTCCGTACCACGCCCGCCTACGTGTGCTTCGAGGGCGAGGAGGTGATCGTGGGCGACACGGCCGTCAACAAGCTGCCGTCGCACGCCGAGAACACCATCTTCCACCTCAAGCGCCTGCTGGGCAAGGCCCACGCCGACGTGGCGGACCGCGACTTCGTCAAGGAGTGGCCCTTCGACATCACGGCGGGCGCCGACGGCGTCGCCCAGGCCGAGACCCAGCGCAACGGCGAGAAGCACCCCGTGTCCCCCGTCGAGTTCATGGCGCTGCTGCTGCAGAACCTCAAGGATCTGGCCGAGGACTTCACGGGCGAGAAGCTCGAGCACGTGGTCATCAGCAAACCGGCGCACACGGACGACTCGTACACGGAGCTGCTGGACGCCGCCGCCAAGAAGGCCGGCGTCAACGTGCTGACGTACCTGAGCGAGCCCCTGGCCGCGGCTATCGCCTACGGCCTGGACGAGGCCGCCAACAACGCCAAGCCCGAGTACGTGCTCGTGTTCGACATTGGTGGCGCCACCCACGACGTGACCCTCCTGAACGCCGACAAGGGCCTGTTCGAGGTGGTTGCCAGCAAGGGCAAGGACACCCTCGGCGGTGAGGACTTCACGGCCGCTGTGTTCGAGCACTGCGCCAAGTCGTTCCTCCGCAAAACCAAGCTGGACGTCAAGACCAACCAGAAGGCCTCCAGCCGTCTCCGCATTGCCTGCGAGGTTGCCAAGAAGACGCTGTCGACGCAGACTCAGGCCAACATCGAGGTGGACACGCTCATGGAAGGCGAGGACTTCTCGCTCAAGCTGTCGCGCCCCCGTTTTGAAGAGCTCATCACCGACTACGTGCACGAGACGATCACCGAGATCGAGGCCATCTTGGAGGAGAACGAGCTCGAGAAGGAGGACATCGACCACATTGTGCTGGTCGGCGGCTCCACCCGCATCCCGCTGGTGCAGAACCTCGTCAAGAAGTTCTTCGACGGCAAGAACGTGCACACGCAGCTGTCGCCCGACGAGGCTGTGGCCTACGGTGCCACCATCGAGGGTTCGGGCCTTGCTGAGCTCGTGGGCGTCCCCGCGCCCAAGAACCCGCTCAACATGGTGAACGTGGTGCCGCTCAACCTGTCGGTGGCCCTGGCCAATGGCAGCGTGTCGGAGCTCATTCAGCGCGACACCGTGCTGCCGGCCACCGCCACCGAGCTGTTCACGACCTCGGAGGACAACCAAGAGGCCGTGTACCTTCAGATTTACGAGGGCCAGCGCCTCATGGCCAAGGACAACACCCTCGTGGCGCAGCTGAGCGTGGCGGGCATCACGCCGCTGCCCAAGGGTGACGCCGAGATTGAGGTGACCTTCACCGTCAGCACCAAGGGCGTCCTCACGGTCACCGCCTCGGAGCGCAAGGCCGGCAAGAAGTCGCTCGAGGTGACCCAGGACTCCAAGCGCCTGACGCCCGCCGACGTCGCCGCCATCGTCAAGAAGGCCGAGGACGCCGCCGACGAGGACGACGAGCTGCTGGGCGAGCTGGAGGACGCCGAGGAGGCCGCCGAGCTCGAGGCCGCCGCCCCGGAGGTCGAGGCCGCCAGCGCCCCTGTCGTGCCCGTCGTGCCCACGCAGGACCTAGACTAAACTACAACTCACTAATCACCTTGCACACAAACACAATGCAAGCCACGCTATTTGTTCCTATTGTGTCTCTCGCCATGTACGTACCATACATGTGCTTTCCATCGGCGTCTTACCTGCATGTGCCATCCGGGTCAAGTACAGTATCTGCCACGTACTACCACGATTCTATTGGCTGAAATAAGCAGCCGGATCTGAAAGCGCAGTCCAAAAAGTCTCGGTCAAAAAGCCAGGCAAGCCATCATGGACGACGACGTCAAGTCCGCGGCCAACGCCATGAATGTACGTGACGCTCAGCGGCCTGTGGCCAGCTTTGGTCTGTTCAGATGCATGTCTGCTTCGTCTTCACGGCTCTGACGTCTCTAACGGCCGCTCTGTTTGCTGCCTGCTGCGCTATTCGCTCCAGGATCGAGGCGCCGACCTGAACTTCGGTAGGCGACACGTGAATTAGATGAATATATGCGCATATTTACTGGGTTATGTGGGTATTAACTGCTGTGTGTGTGCTGTGGCTTGGTGCAGAGGTGTCGGTGGTCGAAGGCGATGAGCTGGAGGACGGACTCATGTCCCCGAAGGTTAGGGACACGCTCATGGGCACCAAGAAGGCTCCGTACGGAGAAGACGACAAGCCTGCACGCCCCATGGGGCTGTGTGGATGCCTCTCCTTGGCCTACTACCAACCGGTACGTGATGTTAGGGATGTGTAGACTGATAGAGGTGACTCGAGCTTCTCATCTCTCTCGCTGCAGTACTTTGATGTCGACACCACGGACGTCCAGCAGCGGTTGATGCGAGCGCTAGTGCCGTTCAAGAAGGACCCGACGTTCGCAGAGCTGGCGCTGCAGGCTCCTGACGCGTACGGCCCGTTCTGGCTGTCTACGACGCTGATCTTCTGCTTGGCCTCGTGCAGCAATGCCGCATCGTTCCTGGACTATGAAGGCAACACGGACGAGTGGTCGTATGATTTCAGCCGCCTCGCGTCGGCGTACACCCTAGTGGAGATTTTCCTACTTGGGTTGCCGATGCTCATCTGGCTCGTGGGCAAGTACTTTCAAGTGCCCATGACGCTGCTCTTCCTCGTGTGTCTCTACGGCTACTCGTCTATCATGTTCATCCCGGCTGCGGTAAGCTGCACGTATCTTTAGTTTTTTGTTGCTTCCCAGAGTCTGACTAACGCGCTTGAGTTTCTCTCTATGTGCGTAGATCTTGTGCGTTTCTCCGATCGACGCGATGGATTGGGTAGTGATGCTACTGGCGATGGCGTGGTCGCTCTTCTTCCTGTTGAACAACCTGTGGCACGTTATTTCGGAGCACCTGACGAAGGAGAAAATGCTCCCAGTGCTGGCAGTCATCAGGTACGCTCACCATTTGCCTAGGCAAGTAGTTTGGATGCGTACTAACTAAGTCCTCGCGTGGTTCTTTGACTTTGGCAGTGGAGCGCACATGACATGGGCTATCCTCATGAAGCTGCTCTTCTTTTAAAGCGTCAACTGCTTTCGTGGTGTGCGTGCATAAAAAACTGAATACGAGCTCTCTTTGTATCATGTTCAGTCTTGTTGTATCATTTCATTTTTATTCGACATGCACATGACATTTAAAATACCATGACAAACCACGAAGCACTAAACATGGACACAAAGCTCCCACACCCATCTAGGTTGGGCTACACGATCCGGACCTCCTCTTCCTCGTCGCTGTCTAAGCCCATTCCGCCCTCTGCATCCAGCATCAGTTCCCGCTCGTCATCAGGATGTGCGGCAAGCTCCTCGAAATCGATATCCTTGCCGATGGTTGCCGGTCTGTCCGAGCGATTCCTGAACAAAAGGGGGAGAGTAACCGCCATCAGTAAGAAAAACAGGAATTACCATAAGTTACAACGACGTACTTGAGGAAAATGGCTAGTCGGACGTATTGCACAGCATTGCGCAGCGCCAGCACTGAGTCTGCCGCGACTTCCTCCAGCTCACCAAGCACGCCTTCCTCGTTAAAGTACATGGCGACGGACACCAAGCTCATGACTGCAACAGCATCAAAGCCACATTTCGTTAGCACAGGTGCACGCACCACCAGAACTGCCGATCCCAAGAAGACTCAGCGTCAAACGCACCCAACGCGACAAGATCGAAGATGTTACACCACTTGTGCCAAAACCTCTGCAGTTTTCAATACATATGAACACCAGTGTAAGAAACCAGCATCACCACCACGACACCAAAACTTCGACAGCCACATTTGCGCACCCTCTTGAACGCCATCATCCGCAGCAGCACCTCGAACACCAGCAGCGCGCTGACGATGATCTCCAGCGAGATGAACACCACCGATGACGGGCTGCAAAAGACAACACAGTAACACAATAAACATTCATTAAACCCATGCCCACCCAAAGAAGCATCAGTCGTGAATCTCCGCACATTTTCCAGTTGTTCATGCCGGTCTGCCATCACACAATACGCCACAGCTATACGTTAGAGCCCCCGTAGATGATAAACTGGCAGTCAAAGTGGCTGGCTGACTACAGTCAGTGGCTGTGCAGCAGCTCGAATCGAATCGACTCACCCACACGACGCAGACGAGGCTCGAGGCGATCATGAAGAAGTACACGAGGCGGTAGAAGCTCGAGAAGTAGAGCCGACTAGACACCGTCATGAGGTACTCCTTGCAGCCGATGTGCGACGGCGATCCCGGCGCCGTCGCGCCCGGCAGCTTGGCGTAGCCGTTGGAAGCCTTCATCCTCGGTCAAGTCCGTGCCTGGATTCCTCTCAGGCTGATGTTGACCAGCTGAGACTCTCAGCTGGTCAACATCAGAGAAGGATCGAGATTGGCCAAAAATAAACGAATCAAATGCGCCTTTGCTGGCTCGAACGGATCAACTGAAGAGATCGATTGCCTGGACACCCGGCTCAATGCTCAATCGTTCAGCGCGATAGATGCTTATGATTTACAAGTTGTAGATCTTCACTGGCGTCACCATGGCCCCAATGAAGATCACTTGTCCCAAGGCCGAAATTTGGACTAGCCTCGGTACAGCACCTCGTCTGGGCTGTCGAAGAGGAAAATGATTGAATGGAGTGACACCGAGCAGCGCCTGTGTCGGGTCAGTTTGCCTTTGACGACGCGTGCTCCTCGAGCGAAGCAGTCACAGCCGGCAGAACACCACGCGTGAACCACTCAAAGTGTTACCTTGCCCACGCATAGAGCATTTGGCTGGCCCGCGACTGGCGCAATCCAAGCCATGTTACACGTTGAAGTTGCAGTCATAAGGTGTCACCATCGTGGGACGACCGCGGGCAGCGTGACTTGCAAGTGCTACTAACCGCAGGATGCCATTCACGACATTGTTGGGCTCTGTACGACGTGATTGCGGGGGCAAGGTGACCAGGATTCTGCCTGACCCCTCTGCTGCTGGGGCTGCTCAGCGATCACTTTGGAATTTGCTCCGCCTGGCGCACTGCAGCCCAGGACTCCTCTTCAACGATGGTTTTCCGTCACACGTACTTCGCCGTCACCGCCCTGCTTGCTTCCGCAGCGATCCTGGCTTCAGCTACGGCTGAGTCGATCTGCACGCTCAGCGACTCCGAGACCTGCGCCGTCGACAGCCTCACCCCTTCAGACGACGATGGCAGCGTCCTCATCTACCCCGGAGGCTACACCCGCTGCGCTTTTGACGACTACACGGACTCGGTGACGACGTTCTCGACGAACTCCACGTACTTCTTCCAGGTATTCCCAAACACGAACGCGGACAAGTCCAAGCTCATGATCTTTTTCCAGGGCGGCGGGGCCTGTGCAGACGAAGACACGTGTGCGTTCGGCCTGCAGTGCTCATTGGGAGCGAGTGCGACGTTCACGACCGCTGCAACTTCCAGCAGTGCCGGTGTGCTGGACCGGTCGCTGGCGGACAACATGTTCAAGGACTGGAACATCGTGTTCATCCCGTACTGCACCGGTGACATCCACATTGGCAATCGAGTCAACGCAGCCTATGAGAGCGGTATTGAGGTTCTTCTGGGCAACACTCAGTGTCTCGGCCTTGACTACGCGACGCACATGAACGGGTACAACAACACCATGGCGGTGCTTGACTGGGCGATCGAAAACTACCCAGAAGTCGACGACCTGATCGTCGGCGGGGAGAGTGCTGGCTCGCTCGGTGCTCAAGTCCACAGTGCCAAGATTGCTGACATGTGGGACGTCAAGTCCAAGGGCACCCGCTTCTCGGTGCTAGCGGACAGCTACGTCGGCGTCGTCCCCAAGGACCACCCCGCTGCAGAACTGCTGGTGACTTACGGCGCATGCACCAACGACTTCGGTTTGTCCGAAGATATCGTGGCGGCTTGTGAAGCTGGGACGGCGACCACCATCGAGATGATCGAGGCGTTGCTCGAAGCGCAACCTGAAGGCAACTGGCTGTTCATCGACAGCAAGGGAGACAAGACCCAGCGGTACTTCTACGCGCTCGTGGATGAGGGTATCCTCGGCTACCCGTTCTCGGATCTGATCTTCGAGGAATACTTTTTCTCCAACATGAGCGCGATCACTGATGCGTACCAGACTGTGAGCTCCAGAATCACGACCTTCTACGTTGAAGGCACGAAGCACGTCTTCCTAGCCGACTCGAACTTCACGAGCTACGAAAGCGACGAGGGGTTGCTGCTCGGCGATGTCATCAACGCCTGGCTGGTCTCGAACTCGAGCTTGAACACGGGCGCCACCGCGGAACCGACAACTGGAGCTCCAAGCTCGACAACCGCCACTCCTGGTGCAACCACAAACACTACTCCGGGAAGCGCAAGTGCCACGACTTCGCCTAGTGGTACCTCATCTCCCACCGCCACTTCATCGCCAAGTGCATCGTCTCCTTCAGCCACGACGACCTCGCCCAGTCCGACGACCACGGCGCCGCTCGCTTGTTAAAATGAGTCTATCATAGCCTAGACTGTCTAGGAGCGCAGACAAGTAGTACTACTACTGTAGTAGTATCCGATACGCAGGAATACCGAATTGTATGAGTCTGTCCATTTCGTTTGTAGTTCCTGTTAGCGTGTGACTCCATCGACACAAGTCTGTATCATTCGACCCACAGATTGCACCTCGTGACCGTAGGTATCCCTGTACGAGGTGCATGTACTACCGGTAGTAGAAATTTTCTGCAGGGAAGCCTGCACGCGGCTGAGCTTGGCGGTAGCGATTTCCAAACACCGGCCATTGCGTAATAGTGCAACCCGCGCTTGCAGCTTCAACACCAATTCACGTGTGCATCTCTTCATGATCCTTTTTTGCGTGCCTTCCTGTTCCTATGTGGGCGGGCAAAAGGTTTGATGCAACAAAGTTGAAGTTATCGCTGGACAACTTCAAGGAGCCACCTTGATACATGCAGAACCCGTTTAACAACGTAGCGCAAGCGTCCGTGATGTGTCCACTGGACACTATCCAGGATCCTCATCTTTTGAGCCTTCTCTCGGTGGGGAACCCCCCAACGCTCGTCGCCGTCTTTCACTTCTCAATCTGCCGCGACGTCCCCGCACCAATCTCGACCCCATGCGACTCGCTGCCGCCACTCTGCTCGCTGCATCGGCAGTCGTGACTTGGGTCACCGGCGAGTCCATTTGCACGCTCAGTGACTCGGAATCCTGCGCTGTCGAGAGCCTCGCCCCCTCCGAAGACGATGGTAGCGTGCTCATCTACCCTGGAGGCAATACTCGCTGTGCGTTCGACGACTACACGGACTCGACGTTCACGTCCAACTCGACCTACTTCTTCCAGGTGTTCCCCAACTCGAATCTGGACAAGTCCAACTTGATGATTTTCTTCCAAGGAGGCGGGGCCTGCACCGACGAAGAAACGTGCTCATTCGGGATGCAGTGCTCGCTGGGGGCTAGCGCGACACTGACAACCTTCGCAACTTCCAGCAGCGCTGGAGTTCTCAATCGGTCGATCTCGGACAATATGTTCAAGGACTGGAACATCGTGTTCGTGCCATACTGCACTGGAGACGTCCACGCCGGCAACAGGATCCTGGCTCCTTACGAGAGCAGCATCGCTGAGCTGCTCGGAGAGCCCCAATGCCTTGGACTGAACTACACCATGTACCTGAACGGATACAACAATACCCAGGCAGCGTTGGATTGGGCGCTCAAGAACTACCCGGATGTCGACAACCTCATCGTCGGTGGCGAGAGTGCTGGCTCACTCGGTGCACAACTGCATAGCGCCCACATCGCCGAACTATGGGACGTCAGTGCCAAGGGTACGCGCTTCTCTGTCATCGCGGACAGCTACGTTGGGGCGGTTCCGGCCAACCACACCGGCTCCGAGTCGTTGCACTTTACCGGGGTATGTGACGTTAACCTCGGCATGCCTGCCAATGTGATAGCGGACTGTGATGCCGAGACGGCGACCACCACGGAGATGACGGAGTCGTTGATCGAAGCGGAACCCCAAGGCAACTGGCTGTTCATCAACAGCAAGGGAGACCTGACTCAGCGATACTTCTACGCATTGCTGGAGGAGGGCATCGAAGGCTACCCGTTCACTGATCTCGTGTCGGAAGACGACTTCTACACCGACATGAGCGCCATACTGGATGCTTACCAGTCCATCAGCTCGCGCATCACGACGTTTTACGTCGAGGGAACGAAGCACGTGTTCTTAGCTGACACGAACTTCACGAGTTACGAGAGTGACGAGGGGTTGCTGCTTGGCGATGTGATCAACGCGTGGCTGGTGTCAAACTCGAGTCTGAACTCAGCCAATTCGACGACCGAGACGACGGCTGCGCCTTCCACCCCGTCCACTTCTGCTAGCACGAGTTCCCAATCCGGATCGCCAGCTTCGACCACATCAGGATCGTCGACAACAACGTCAAGCACAAGCGCGAGCACAACGACGATGGCCACAACTCCTTCATACTGTTAAGTGCTTAATGAGCTGCTCGGTTGGAGGCCCAAGGTATCACAACAATATGTCAAACCAGAATTTCATCCTGTTCATTCATGAATTTGTATCTTTATCAGTTGTTGGTCCGACTGGGGGCGAGTTAGACAGCCCTCTCGGCCAATTTCTCAGCTGGGGTCTCGGGTTCCTGTAGCTTGGCTTCCTTCGTCTTCGGCGGGATGCTAACAACACGCTTGCCGCACACAGAGTAGTGGTAACCCGGCTCAAAGCGGTCCGCCGTATTCGTACGGACCAGGACGAGCACGACGAAACCAATGCAAACGATCACGAAGATGACCTGGATGTTGTCGATGTAGGCCTCGCCGATAGACATGCCGTCGGCCACCTTGTCGTTGTACGCGTTGTTGAAGGTGATGCCGCCGACAACGGCGCCGAACGCCAAAGACGTAAGGATGATGCCGTGTAAGGGTCCGACATTGTACGCACCAAACATGTCCGTCACTAGAGCCGGGATCGTACCGAGGCCGCCGCCGTAGCTGGACGTGAGCACGAAGATCTCGATGACAAAGAACGTGAAGCTTTCGTGGCGGATGACCGTAGGCAACGACCCGATCACGATAATCTGAGCTCCCAGCGTGAAGTAGTACAGCACCTTGCGCGCGAACGTCTTCTCCATTTTGAAGTACCGCACCAGGAAGTCCGAAATGGACGAGAAGGCGAGCCGACCGCAGCAGTTGAAGACGCTGTTGATAGACACAATGTCGGAGGCCGTGTTCGCGCTCTTGTTGAAGATGTCTGTGCACATACTCGACAAGCGGGACAACACGATGACGCCGAAGAGCTGGTTCGCGAAGAACATGATGTACATGAAGATGTAGTCGGGTGTAAATACAGCTTCCTTGAGCGTGTAGGGCTTGATGAAAGGCTTCGAGGCGTCCACGGTCTCCGGCTTGTCCTCAGTCGTGGGAGTCTGGACGGTCTTATAAGCAGTGCTCAGCTTTTCCTCCAGTGCTTCGCTCTCGTCGACAGCGTTGCCGTGGATGTTAAGACCATGGATCGTGTAGTCCGCAGGCGGCACTCGAAGAACCAGAGCTGAGGAATACATGGCAGCGCTCATAACGGCACCGATCAGGATGAACATCCAGGGGAGCCCAACCGCATCAATGGTAGGCAGGTACACCTTGCTCCAGACGACAGATCCAGCACCGGAACCAGCAACAGCGAATCCGGCAGCCGTACCGCGGTAGTCGGGGAACCACTTCTGCAGCGTCGACACGGGCGAAATGTAGCACATGCCCAAGCCAATCGCGGTAATGATGCCGTATCCGATGTAGATCCAGGCAATTGACTTGTACTGACAGCCGAGGGCCGAGACGATGTGGCCGACCATGATGAGCGTCGTGCCGATGGAGACAGCCCAACGAGGCCCCTTCCGCTCAATGGTGGGCCCCAGAATCGCTGCCGCCGTTCCGAAGACGCCCATTGCAATGTAGAAGGTGTTCACAGCACGACCCTTCTTGGCATCGCCGTAGACGGCCAGGTCGATGGGGTGGTTGAGTACCGACCAGGCGTAGATGCAGCCAATGCAGAACTGCACGACGAAGGCAGCGACGAACAGGTACCAGCGCGAAAACGTGAGTTCCAGCATGACTGGCGGTTGGAGAGCTGCGCGTCGATAGATCAATTCCAAACTGAGCGAAGCCGTTCGGACCTCGACTGGCCTCGGCAAAACCATCGACGCCGAGATGGAATAGCCGAGCAAGCTCTGCCTCTCTGTACATGCTGCGCGCGGATCCTGCACCGATCGGGCGAGTGCTTCAACCACACTGGCTACATACTACTATATGTATGTATTTATGTATTTGTGTTGTACAGTCCCCATTTCAACTCTTCCTAAACAAAATTAATCACCTTTGTAGTGATGCTACATGTGCTGTGGAGATCCAAATTGCTCTGTCAACTTCTTGTTGAACTGATGAAAATGCAATTGACTCTTACCGATTACTTGCCGAAGTATTACTGTAATTGTTCGAAGTACATTTGTAGAATGCAGTGAAAGGCGAAGGACCTAAAAACAGGGAACCGCCACTCGAATGACGTTCGATGGGAGGAGCAACGCGTTGCCGACGACGACGGCGGCAGCAGCAGCGACTTGCGACCGGATTTGCCATTTGGTCTTAGCGCAGGATGGCTGCGGGACAGCACCATGCGAGCTGCAGCCAGGCAGCGCCAGTCGTTGCATCATGCCACGGCGAGCGTGTGCTTGGCAACAACGTCCGGCTTCAAGCTTCCTGCAGTGAAGGTACCTTCGCGAATAAAATCGGCGAGCAAAATCGGATGCAGCGGTCCAATTCACACAAATAGGGCATGAAGGCGCGAGCAACACGCGGCCCGACACAAGAGGGGCACGCAGGTTCCCGCTTCTTGTCGTTGTTGTTGCAACGGGGACTCCACCGCGGAGTGCGTGGCGCTGAATCAGCGCCGCTGATTGATCCTTGTTCCCTTCAGTTCAAATTTCGGATCGCTTCGCTTACCGATTTCATTCCTTTCCGGTACACTTGCATCTTGAATCTTGAAGCAACCCTGCAAACACACGTGTGTGTATGGAGTGTTTCCGTGCGCCCTCTAAAGATCGTCGTCTTCAGACTTATCGAATAAATACAATTACCCCATCGCAATATTGCACAGTACTGTGCCACACTTAGTAGAACGCATTCGATATTGATGAATCCACTCACTGTGTATACTGTTTGGGCTAACACTTCAAGTGGTTGGTGGTTAACATGTGAAAGCAGGTCGTATTAATACTGAGATAGCTAGTGTACCGTATGCTGCTACGCAGCCGGCACAGGATTAACGTTAATTTGGTGTCGCATGAAGCCGTGCGTGTAACGCATGCGTTTAAGTATCCATCATATATTGAAATATTATGAAAGTAAACTTAATATGTAATCTGAATAATTACCTGGTCGGTCTCTATCAATGAAGAAGCATCAATCGCATCAAGTTTCATTTGAATCATTTCCAGTTCTCACACCTGAAGACGCAGCAACACCAGGGTGAATTTACAGCACGAAGGTAAGAATAGTCGTCTGCTTGGGAGGGCGTTGCTGCAGCTTCTAACTTGCTTGTATTTGTTTATTAAAACAGCGCGGAGGCAAGAAAGCAAATTGATATTATCGTAAGTGTGTTATTGAACTTAAAAGTCTGATTATCTGGTAGATGTGGATGCTCATAATATAAAAGCACAGCGCGGGCGACTGGTGCGCCGCAAGTGCGGCGCGCCTAAGTCGTGTGCACTGTGCGTTTATCTGTTTTGTTTATTTTTGCTATCTCAGCCCTCGCGAAGCCCTAGTTAACTTTGCACTTAATACTTAGACAGCGGTTTCGGGCAGCTTGTCGGCCGCGGCCTCAGCTTCAGCCTCCTGCTGCTTCATCACATCCTTCTCCTTGGGAGGAATGCTGATGACGCGCTTGCCGCACAGCGAGTAGTGGTATCCCGGCTCGAAACGGTCCTTGGCGTTCGTGCGCACGAGGAAGAGCACCAGGAAACCGATGCAGACGATCACGAAGATGACCTGGATGTTGTCGATGTACGCCTCACCGATAGACATGCCGTCGGCCACCTTGCTGTTGAAAAAGTGGTTGAAGCTAAGACCACCCGCAACACCACCGATAGCCATGGCCGTCAGGATGATGCCGTGCATCGGGCCGATGTTGTAGGCGCCGAACATGTCCGTCACGAAAGCGGGGATGGTGCCGAAGCCTCCACCGTAGCTGCACGTGAGCACGAAGATCTCGATCACGAAGACCGTGTAGCTGTTGTGTCGGATGACCGTGGGCAACGAGCCCAGAACGATAACCTGGGCACCGAGGGTGAAGTAGTACAACACCTTGCGCGCAAACGTCTTCTCAACCTTGAGGTAGCGGACGAGGAAGTCCGAAATGGCCGGGAAGGCGAGGCGACCGCAGCAGTTGAACGCACTGTTGATGGACACGATGTCGGAAGCCGTGCCGGCGCTCTTGTTGAAGATATCCGTGCACATGCCTGAAAGGCGGGACAGCACGATGACACCGAAGAGCTGGTTCGCGAAGAACATGATGTACATGAAGATGTAGTCGGGCGTCAATATGGCCTGCTTCAGGGTCAGCTGCTTGATCGGCGACTTCTCCACGACGTCCTCGTCCTTCGGCGTCTGCACCGCCTTGTAGGCGTCGTCAAGCTTCTCCTCCAGAGCCTCGCTCTCGTCCACACGGTCACCGTGGATGTTAAGACCGTTGACGGTGAAGTCTGCCGGCGGCACGCGGAGGACCAGGGCCGAAGCAAACATAGCTACACTCATGATAGCACCGAGCAGGACGAACATCCACGCAAGGCCGACGGCATCAATCGTAGGCAGGTACACCTTGCTCCACACGATGGAGCCAGCACCGTATCCGGCAACGGCGAAGCCAGCGGCAGTGCCGCGGTAGTCGGGGAACCACTTCTGCAGCGTCGACACGGGCGAAATGTAGCACATGCCCATACCGATGGCAGTGATGACGCCGTAGCCGATGTAGATCCAAGTAATGGACTTGTAGTGGCAGCCGAGCGCCGTGACGATGTGGCCGATCATGTACAGCACCGTTCCAATGAAGACGCCCCACCTAGGGCCCTTGCGCTCGATAGTGGGGCCCAGGGTGGACGTGGCGGCGCCGAAGACACCGATGGCAATGTAGAAGGCGTTCACAGCACGACCCTTCTTGGCATCGCCGTAGACGGCCAAGTCGATGGGGTGGTTGAGCACCGACCAGGCGTAGATGCAGCCGATGCAGAACTGCACGACGAAGGCAGCGCCGAACAGGTACCAGCGCGAAAACGTGAGCCCGAACATGGTGAGGTGAACCGGAGACTTGTGCGCCAGGAAGCCAATTCTAAACTGAGAGCTGGTGAAGGAGTGTCGGCGGAGCAGTGTGGTTGGTGCTGCGGAGACTTGTCGATTGTCGAAGGGAGCGTTCCCAAGCATACACGACGAGATGGGAGCTGCAGCAAGATCCCACGGGAAAGCCCAGGAAAGCCTCTGGCAAACGCCTGTCTGTCAAGCAGCGCGCGTAGAGCCAACGCCGCGCAGTGTACGTGTACACTGTATGTGCTACACTGTAGTCACCGCGGACGAAGACGTGTCGGGAGCAAGCGAGCGCGTGGCTCAATCATCTGGGCAAAAACTTCCCGTAAGTCTGCGAGAGACTCTGCAGAGTCGAGCCATCATGAAAGCATGTGTCTTGCAGCGGAATCGACGCCCGTATCCGGCTAGGTTCGTGAGTTACCCTATATGCAACAAGAGGCAAAATGGGGCACCCAGTTGTACTGCATCAGGCAGGTTAGTCTTCGCCATTCATTTTCGTTCGAGCTCGAGATTAAAATGGTGCCTCGCAATTATTAAATCGTACCGCGACTGTTCTTCGCTCGCAGCACGCATCTCCTCGTCGCCTATGGTGATGGCGAGAAGGCTTGACATCGACGGCAAGCGGCAGGTGTGTACAGTAAGTAACCTTTGAGATCTCAATTCCTGTGATCAACCGAACCAAGTGCACTGCGTATACCGTAAAGTGCTGAACCAAAGTCACGGGGTCGATCTGGGTATGCACAGTAGCGTTGCTAACAACTCGTTCACACGATGCAGACGAGCGGGTTGTCTCTGTTGCATGCACAGTACACGCAGTTTTCAGAGCATGCAGAGGTGACATCGGCAATAAGTGCATTCGGGTCAAGATTTCCGTAGTTACGCGACCTCCTTCAGAATCCAAACTGGACAGCCTGTTTGATGGGATGAAGCTCGAGATGCCCGGTGTATTTCTTGCAACACTTAGGGGATGTTTCATTCGGGGGCAGTTGCAAACTCGACAAATTTGCGTCTTTGTGCTGTCCTCGGATAAGCGTTTCCGAACAGCAGCGACTGGATTTGCCTTTGATCCTGTTGCACGATGGCTGCTGCACAGCACCGAGCGATCGCTGAAGACGCTGGGTTGGCAAGGCGTCTGGCGGCGTCAGTGATGCCGCCACGGGATCATCAATCGCGCCTTCAACATATGCCTGGCTTCAAGCTTCCTGCGGTGAAGGTACCGCCCGGACAAAAATGCAGCTTCGCGAATAAAATCGTCGGAGGCAGCGGTCCAGATCGCACAAATAGGGCACGAAGGCACGCGACGTGGCTTCTCTTTCTCTTGGTCGCTGCCAGCGACTCGGTGGGCGAGCTTACTGCGCAGATCGCTTTTGCTCCTTTTCATAAGCGATGACATCAGCTCGATGGTTATGGCGACGCCTTTCATGCTCAACTTTACCAAAACCAATTTCCAATACCCACATGCACTTCTACTGCTGTGCGTCGCTTTTTAGGAATGCATTGTACATGTATGTATCAATGCGTTCGTCTACGCAGTGTTGAACTTGATGTAGCAGATCTGTCCTTGCGACCGAAGTGACCGGACAAAGCACACCGAAACAATGATCTCTTCAACCAGTGCACTTTTATTCAGCACTTAAATCGCTCGGGTCCACTAAAGTTGGAAAATTCCTTGGACTCGGTGATTTGTAGAGCCCGTAACCGCTAAGTTCGGCGTACTATTGGAGATTTACGGTGTTTTGAGAAATAGAGTATTAACAGGCGTCGCCTCGAACAGGGAACATTTTTCCGTGCACATCATAAATTCTTTTTTTTTTAATATGGCTCGGATCGACCTGAAACTTTGGCAACAAGCTCTGGTTGGTCATGGATAGGTAATTAGAAAGTTTGGGAAGAAGTGTGCTTGTGCTCCAGGTGCAATGAACACAAGATCAGCACGCCATACTGGAATGTAGTCAGAGGTTTATTGCAAGTTTATCATAACTGAACGGTCGCCGCTGCTTTCAGCTCCCTCATCTGGGCATCTGCACAATGGCGACCGATAAAGAAGAAGATGGTTTGCTGTTAGTGCGCACCAGAAAGCGCAAGCAGTCTCTAGGGCAAGGTGTAATATGTAACAAGGAAAATGAGAGCTTGCAGTCTGATGCTGCTGCGGCTGCAGCTGGATCAAAGCGTCTCCGAAGCTGCAATAACCCCGACTATCCGGTACGCTAAAAGATCTCAATCACTAATAGCTTACTGAATTATACTTTTTGAGGTCTAACCTTGAGCTAATGAACACACTCTTTATTTCTCTCTCTTTGTAATTACCAGAGCAAAGGCGTCAACGTGGCAATTGCAATTGCTAATGCCGCCAAAGCTGGTGCGGAAGCTCGTGCACGGCGAGTATCCCAAGCACAGATCCAGGAACGCCGCAAAAATGGTCCAGATCACTATTCTTACCTGATAGCGGATTCAATCAAGGCTGCTGCACTCGCTGGCTACAGATCGCGCGTTCAGTGGGCTGCCCGCGCGAATGATTTTGGCGCTAACCGCACGGAACGCAATGCTGGGGGTGGAGGAAGCTTTGCTGCAGCATGTACCGACAGCAGGAAGCAGTCAGCACGCGAAAATTCGGACCTCTTTCAAGCTGACCAAGATGTTCAAAAGGGGTGCTCGTCGGAGAAAGCGGCGAAGAGCAGCGTCGATCACATGGGAGGAGACGTGTGTGATAACCTTGTAGCAGACATCAAATGCTATGCAGGACGTCCTATCGACTTTGCTGTGGTTCGTAGTGCTGGCAATGCACAATCTCGGAAGCCTCAGCACCAGAAGGATGCTGCATGCGGCGCACGAAAAGAAGGTAAAGCTGAAGAGTGGTCTTCGCTGCAGGTTTCGCACCAGATTTTACGGGATATGGGTAATGATACTGTGTTGTGTGGCGTATGAACGTGGGGAATCCGATAATACTGGATTGAAGTGGAGTAGATGTGATGGCTCGGTGATCGAGCACGACCTGCCACACACATGCAGCCCCCGTGTCGAGCGTGGAAAATCTGTCGCAATAGAGCCTCGAATTGGGGTTAGTACTCCAGTAGCAATTGAAGCGTTCGTGGCGACAGCGGAACGGAAATCACAGGCGTCACGCTCACTAAGCTTTGGTATGCAGACGGAAAATGCTGATAGAGACTTGCTTATCGATGTCGCTGGTAATAACGAAGCCGAGAGTGTCCCAAAGTCGTACGGCGAGGTGATACATGCTGCTGAAATCGATGCCACCGCTGATAACAGTTGCGAGCAAGGTCAAAGTTATAATAATTCCAGCCCTTCAAATTCCCGCGTTTGCGACGTTCGAATCGGATTCAAGTCGAACGAATGTTTGTGAGTCCGCCGACATTAACGCCAAATCGTGTCCGCCGGACACTTCCAACAATTCGAGCACTCCTCAAGTTTTTTTCTCTTCCCGAAAGTGAAGTGAAATCCTTTCTAAAGCATCTACCGTCAAAGAAAACAAGATCAACAGCGGAATTCTGGACGGATTCGGACTCCAGCACGACTGATGCAGCATATCAGCGCACTGTGGCGTCCGATCTCGTGTTTCGATTACTGCAATGTATTTCAGAAACGTTGTGCGGCACCAGCGCATCTAGTGCGTTTTTAGAGATCTTTGCGACCTGGTTAAACCCGGTGACGTGTGCTAACGATACATTGGTGACGACGTCTGCGAACGTATTAGCGAAAACGCGGAAGGGCTCTCTCGAATACCGAAGTGTGCGCGCGCTACTGTGCGGTTCATATTCGTTGAAGAGCCTCCAAGATATTTGCATCGATGTTAATGGAGTTTGCATTGGACGGAAAGCTCACTTAGCGGGTTGCAGAGATTTTCAGATCCTTTTTGATGAAGGTGCGCTGGAAGTGAGTAAAGTCACAAGGCAAAGATTCGACCCAGCAGTTGTGTCTGAAGCTGTCCGCCACATCCTCTCCATGGAAAACGTTACCTTTCTGTCTTGGGGGACGAAATCGGTCAAGTTGGACGGGGAGCGGGTATCTGTTCCTGCCATACAGAGGCGCAAACCGATAAATGTAATGTTTGACCAGTATGGGCACCTGGAAATATGGTGTCCGCACGAACATATTATCGACTAGCCGCCATCTTGACGCATGGTACGTCACAGCCTCGGAAGGCAGTAAATTACGTCACTGGGTTTCTGATCAACGATAACTTTCAATTACTCGATCGTATTGTGAAAGGGGCAGTAGTGATGCGATCATTGTCATTGATTTCAAAATGAAACTTGAGCCAATCTATTTCCGCGAAAAGACTGTTGATCACTATGGGAAACGAGGAATGTCGTGGCATGGAGCCCTACTTCGTTACTGGAGGTATGATGCTGTCAGTGGTTCTGCTCGCGAAAATAAAGTGTACGTCGATCAAATTTCAAACGGGGATAACAAACAGGATAAAGAATCTGTGGTCGCACTAGTTGAGGGGATATTATTGTCGGTTCACCGAGCGTTCCCATTTATCAAGCGCGTGACGTTTCAGTCCGATAATGCTTCGTGTTATCAAAACACGTATCTAGCGCTCATGCTTCCTCTCGTTGGCGCTTTGAACAATATCGAGGTCGTTCGATTCATCCACTCTGAGACCCAAGATGGGAAGTGCGTCCTAGATGCCCATTTGCAACTGCAACGCGTAAAGTGAAAGCTTGGGTTTGTCAAGGCCACGACGCTACAACCCCGCAGGAAGTGGTAACAGCTTTAACGTCTGATGGCGGTCTTCCGAATTGTATAGTGGAGTTAGTGGAATACAATCGCGCCAAGATGAAGTTTGTTTACGAAGCGGTGGAGCTGTTGGCGAAGTCGTTAGGCCGACTTTTTACTCGTTTCAATGAGGTCGTTTACGACCACCCGCCTTTTACGCCCCCTTCACTATGGAAAGAGCGTTTTGACGTCAAAACGTGGCCATCGTTCAAACTCACGATATTTGAATATTCTGGTGTTGGAGATGG